GAGGCAGATGCACGAACACAGTAGAGGCACAAACACGACAGAGCACACAGCGGAACACGGCAAAGGCACAGACACAAGAACCCTAAAAGAAATTAGGGCACACAGTAGAACACGGGTGGGCACAACACACACAGGTCACCAGAAAGTCGGCTCTGATACCAAGTCAAACAATATGGGTAGAATATTTTCATATATATTTCATTCTCCGAAAGGAGGTATTTATAATACAGGTTACAAACCCTAGTAGGGTTTAATTAGGAAATAAGTGGAATCCTAATTACATAATATCTATACAAAAGGAAAAATAAATAAAACCCAAATAGAATAGGATATATTCTACTCGCCAACAAGAACTTCAATATCACTTGACAAGCATATGATATTTGCCCTGCATATTTGTCTTGCTTCCCCTGCAAAGTTGGTGGCACCGGCCCATGAAGATAGGTGTTTGGCTTTTCTAGGTGGTGAGTTTTCAATGATGATAACTTCAGTTTTTTGTGGAGAATAATTAACCGGACTTGTATCAACAGAAGAACTTTGCTTGGGACCCTTGCTTCCAAACAAATTTTTCGAAACTTTTTTTCTAGAATCCATTGCTATGTTCAGTTTTTTGTGGAGAATAATTAACTGGACTTGTACCAACAGAAGAACTTTGCTTGGGACCCTTGTTTCCAAACAAATTTTATTGATAACTAAAAGGCACAAATAAGGTTTTGTGGTTATAATTTTTTATTAATATTTAAGCAAAAGGACACAAAAATATCTATATGACGGCTCACAAGACTTTTTTCAGAAATGTCAGCTAGTTGGGCACAAATATCTATGCCTTATTAAATCACATGATAAAAGTGTACTGACAACGAAGTGACAAGTATGTGAATTTGGCACGAAAGTTGTGCCTAAATTCACTTAAGCACAATTATTTCCTTCTTCTATTCAAGTTGGACACAAAACTATTGTGCCTTTTCTACATATGACACAAATATTATATATCTATGTCCAATGTGATTCAAAAGGGCACAACCCTCTTTTTTGTGGCCTTTAGATCGTGCTTTCTGCCCAGTTTTTTAGTAGTAGAGAGAGAGAGAGAGAGAGAGAGAGAGAGAGAGAGAGAGAGAGAGAGAGAGAGAATGAGAGAGAGAGAGAGAGAGAGAGAGAGAGAGAGAGAGAGAGAGAGTAACAAAAGTGAAAACAACTTCAAATATATTTCAATTTTTAGTTTTTGTTTTTACTTTTGTTACTCCTCCCTCGCATGCTCCCCTCTCATCTTCTCTCTCATTCTCACTTCCATTATTCTCCATCTTTTTCCTCTATACTATAGCAAAAAAAATGAAAACTAAAAACTAAAATTGAAATTAATGGTTATCAAACGGGCCCTTAATTTTGCCATTTGAGTCTATAATGATAAAACCAGCATCAACTGTCCCATCTTAATGAACTGAAATTTTCGCTTCATCTTATATTGTCTTCCAAGACCTATTGATTTGCCAAGAGTCATAAAGAAAATGCTTAACAATATAAATGGTAGATTCCTTGCCAGTGCGAGGGGCTTGTAGCTCAAGTGGTTAAGAGCATTACCCCTGCACTCGAGGTCCAAGGTTCGATTCCCCCTCTCCCCTAGTCTCGCTTGTATTTAAAAAAAAGAAAAAAAAGAATCCTTGCGAGAGCAGAAGCATCCTTTTTTTTTTTTTGGCAACAATTATTGGATTAGAACAATAAATTTTTTGTAATTTAGTGTCACCAGCTCAATTATTAGAAAGGCATTTTTTGTAATCTCAACACCTTTTCCAGTTTATAAATATGTTGGAGCACTCAATTTGTAAGCAAGTTGAGAAGAATATCAGTGCATCAAACGCAAGTAACATATCCTTCAGTTTATTTAAGCACACAACTTGTCTTTCTTTTGAATTTTTATTTGTTAATTTATATAATTTGTCAAGCTGCGGTAGGCAAAAATGGTGGTCCAAAGTCGTGTCGTGTTATTGATCAACATAGGATTTGAAAGTTATATTAACGGATGTATGAAAGTGGTTTGTAAAAGCTGAAACTAATAGGTCAAACACTTCAAGAAGTCTAATAGATTGAGACATTGAATAATCAATTGGAAATCATACCAAGGCACGCATGTGATAGAACAATCTTCGAATTGACTGCTTCTTTTTTAGTTTGTTTCTATAGCAGCTAGCTTCTTCTTTAACTTGAGTAGAATCCAACTTGCGGCTATTGTCATTGGAAGATGCAAGACAGTGTTGCACATTGGAAGATGGAAACTTTGGTGCTTAAAACATATTTTGGACTTCTCCACCTATTGTGAATTGGTTTTACATTGGACGCTAACGTTCTAATAGTCGCTGAGATTCCTATTTGATTTGATCATGAAATATTTTTTTTCATGGACCGTGAAATTTAGAAAACAATTAAAAAAGTCTAAAAAGAAAAAGAAAAATAGGAAATTTACCCAAAGCAAGCTGGTCCTAGAATGAAGCCCAAATCATTGCGAAGCAGGCCCAAGGCTGAGATGCAAATTCAATCCCAAACCTTTATCAAGCTTAATCCCACCCTCATCTTCCTGCGAAAAACTAGCATGATTTCCAACCCCTTCTTGAGACGAAGCCCTCATCATCAAACATTCCCCTATCCCGGCCTTGCGGTAGACATGCCTCCCTAATGGCGAGAGGCCAGTCCCGGAGAGATATGCGTCGCGGTCCGATATGTTTACAGGTGCATGTGCCATGTAAAGACATGACGGGGATTGTGGGGGCGCCGCTGTCGGAACCATCATAGAGGCGAAGAGGTGTGACGGTGAAATGAATGCCGATATGACCGGGTTTTGGACGTGTGAAGTAGCCAAGTTTCGGCTGCTAGCATGCACTTGTGCACGCTTTAGGATTTGCCTTTCTTTCTTGTGAGCATTCTGGTGGCCTCCCAAGGCCTGGGAATTGCTGAACTCACGGCAGCAGTACAGACACTCATATTTACGGAGGCCGGATTCTTGCGACGCAGATGAAGATTTGGTTATATCTGAGTTGTAGTGATCTTCTGATATGTTGAAGCCAAAGAGCTTAAGAGGTGTGGAAGCGGAAGTTACTGTGGAAATTGTATTTAGCTTTGTATCATAATCAATAATATCATCAGCCATCAAAGGTTGGTTTTGGAGATGAGATGAGAGAGATTAGGAGGATACAAATGGAATTAATGGGTGACCTTATAATTAGTGGCAATAACTTGCATGTGTGAGCTATTTAAAAGCTGCGGATCGATGAAGTAATAGATAGGTAATGACTTGAGAGTCAAAAGAAGTAGAGCAACAAAGGAAAGAGAGAGGTAGTAGTTATGAAAATTCCCATGACAAAGATAGAGTTAGAAGCAACAACATGGAGCAAGAAAACCAGAACTTTAGATTATACTTGTACCATTTTCTTGTGGTGGTGGTTTTTTTTCCTTTCTTTTTTGGATACAATTCTCAAACTGCAAAGTTATCTGCATGTAGATTATTTAGGTGCTAACTGAGGCATTTGTTCTTGGTACACTTAAAATCTAGCAGAGTGTTTTAGTTAGCCTACAATTGACCATGACCACACGGGTCGAAGCTGAGGGTGGTTCAGAATAATTGCACCTAACTTGGCTTATTTACATGAAGAAGAAAATAACTTTTTTATCTGAAGCTGAGGAGGGTCCAGACGTGAGACCATGAGGTATATTTGGAAATCATTTGAAGCTCTTCTTTCTTAGAATCTTGCAATCATTTCAAGCACGATTTGGGAAACAGCATACATTAAATCAAAATGTGGCTGTACTATTATACATACATCCAGTTTTGTAACACAAATGCTTTTGTTTGAAGTGTGTGTAGTCCAAATTAAAAACTTGGCGTATAAAGAGACACTATAGGGACAACAAAGAGGCACTGTATCAGGCAAAGGCTATTATAGAATAAAAGTTGTGAAAAATGGCTATTTTAGCACAAACCCACTTACAAGGAGACGGGCCATATGTAACATATTGACAATACAAGTAAATTTAGTGAAAAAGTGGTGAACATGAATAACTTCCTTAATGATGCAACTAAAGCCAATTGTAGTCGATGTGCTAAACTATAAACCTAATAAGTACATGAACAATCATTCAGAATCAAAACTTGTAAATAAATAAATAAATAACCCGTTATTTTTTTATTTTCTATTTTCTTAAAGATACTTGTGAAAAAAAGATTTGATTAGCTGTTTCTTTTAATTTTTATTAATTATGTTGGTGGGATGCAGGAGTAACTTAGCCATTGGAGAGATAAAATCCCTTATTCTCTTTATTGTGGGGGCCACAAGCATTATTTTAATATATATATAGTATTTCAAAGCCCCCGGGAGATTTCTGTCCATTCTAGGAGAAACTAAGGCACGTAGAGAGATGTTCAAAAGATGTGGTGAATAAAAACCGAACGACTGCATGCACAAAGTACAATCAGGGCCACCACTTGATTTTTTCATTTCTGCAATTTCCCCTGCTGCTGATAGGGCCACCACTTGAAGACCCAACTCCAATTCTAACTCCACCATTCCCAGTAGCTTTGATCTGGTGCTGCTTAAAAGTTGGTCTGATCAGAAGTGCTTGGGTTCCAAAAGTCCCTGTAGTAAAATGGGGGTGTCCTTTGGTAACTATTGGCAGTAGCTGGTTTGGACTCCCCTGCTGTTAAGCCTGTACTTCTGGGAAACACACAGACTAAATATTTCCCATCAGCACCATATATCACCATCAAGTCTAGCATATTACTCATATAATTAGTCCTTGAATGATCAGTATGAGAACACAAATTAGATGTGACCATTTTTATATAAGGGTAATGTATTTTAACCAATTTTTCAGTCTTTTTTATTTTATTTTGTTCAATACGCGCACCCTGATTCAGGAATATTCTTTATTTCCGGATATGGGCGTGACAGTAAGTTTAGGGCATATGATCCAGTTAACATCATGAACATATATATATTAGAGAAGTGTGACATATTCTTGGTTCAAAAATATCCATCCCAAACAAGGAAAATTTAAAACTAAACTTATAAGAAATTATACCTCTATTCGGGTCAGCAGATATGTCCAAACAAATTTTAATCCAAACTGATAGTAAGAACCAAGCTCAGACAATGTACAGTGAAGCTCAGCACACTAAAGCACAAACTCAAGTCAGCAATTCTAGAAGCACAGCTAATACGTCCAAATGATCTTGTGAAAAAGGTTGATGAGCTCCTAAATTATCTCAGATTGTTACACCTCACCATGATCATAACAGAATTGTATTCTAGAATAACCTATTCAGATTGTACAAATGTGTACAGTATTGATTCCTTCATTCAATGAGAAGCAGAAAAAATTACCTCTTTCATTCATTTCTTCATGGTATCCAGAGCCACCCTTGCCTAACCATAATAACCAAGTAAACGAATTAAACAAATATAACTCTGGTAGTCATCGATGCGATGTTTTCGAACCCTAGATTCTACTCCACCGTCATGATCCTCTTCATCTTGGGCTTTAGAAGCCACAGAAATCCTCACCGTTCGTTCTGTGGGATCTAGGCAAAACCCTAACGAATGATTAGATGATGAGATGACCAAGTACCCCTTCAGTTCTCTTATAGATGTGGTGTGGACGAGGGTTCTAGAATAGTGGTTTGGCGATTCAATATGACTGGATGGGATGAGGAAAATTGAAGCTGACAATAAAAGGTTACTTGGGATGTATCCAAAGAAAAAAATGAAGGGAAATACTACTTTTCCTTCCTTGTTTTACTTTTCTCTCCGTGCATCTCCTTCATGGCAGCCTGGTGGTCCATCAATCACGCTATGAACATGGTTACGTGGCTGTTTCTCAAAATCACACTGTTTTTAACCAACGTTTTAATTTGATAAGGTTGGCATTTCTCCAATTCTCTCCCTCCTAGTCTTTGTTAGTTTCCTTAGTGTCCTGCTTACGTGTTACCATGGCAGCTTAGAACCGTAATCAAAGTAGCAAGAAAAAGATCAAAAGTTAGGCACGCTACAAGCCCTATATAAAGCCCCCCTTGGCACCCAAGTTTATCATCATCCTCCTCACCAAATTACAAGTTAATTAAGTTTATCAGCAACAGCTAGCCAATTAAGACATTTCCATGATGATGATGAAGAGCCAAGCAGCTCTCCTCGGCCTCACCACCTTGGCCATCCTCTTCTTCTCAGGTATAATATTATACAAACTTTGTTAGGTGATCAGATATCGATCAAAAGTTTATTTTTACAGTTGTCTCTGTAATCTTTATTCTTATGATCATGGTTTTATGTACGTTGAATATGCAGGTGCACATGCCGCTAAAATCACTTTCACAAACAAATGTTCCTACACTGTCTGGCCAGGAACCCTAACTGGTGACCAAAAACCTCAATTATCACTCACCGGGTTCAAGTTAGCAACTGGAATTAGCAAATCTGTGGACGCTCCGTCCCCATGGTCCGGTCGCTTCTTTGGCCGAACCAGGTGCTCCACGGACGCATCAGGAAAGTTCACTTGTGCCACAGCAGATTGTGGCTCTGGCCAAGTCTCATGCAACGGTAACGGCGCAGTTCCACCAGCTACATTAGTAGAAATCACTATTGCTCCGAACGGGGGTCAAGATTTCTACGACGTTAGTCTTGTTGATGGCTTCAACTTGCCCATGGCTGCGTGCAAGAGCGCTTGCTTAGCGTTCAACAAGCCAAAATACTGTTGCACTCCACCTAACGACAAGCCGAAGACATGCCCTCCCACTAACTACTCTCGGCTCTTTAAGACCCAGTGCCCTCAAGCTTATAGCTATGCTTATGATGACAAGAGCAGCACCTTTACATGCAATGCTAGACCTGACTACCTCATCACATTCTGCCCATAAGCATACCGTAATTGCATGCAAGAGCGCTTGCTTAGCGTTCAACAAGCCAAAATACTGTTGCACTCCACCTAACGACAAGCCGGAGACATGCCCTCCCACTGACTACTCTCGGCTCTTTAAGACCCAGTGCCCTCAAGCTTATAGCTATGCTTATGATGACAAGAGCAGCACCTTTACATGCAGTGCTAGACCTGACTACCTCATCACATTCTGCCCATAAGAATATATATATATATATATAATGGGATCTTATATGTTATGATATTATACATATAGTTCCCAATAATAGAGAAGAATAAATAAATTTCCTGGATCTTGACACATTGTTGATGTCAAGAATTTGTAATGCAGACGATCAAATAAAGGAATAAATGTTTGGATTTTATTTTCGTTCATGGCTTTCAAATTTTTGTTCCCTTCATTTCTTTATATGATGCATTATTTCCACCAAAAAAGCATGAGCATAATATAAAGAGAGTTAGCTGCAATTGAAATGGTTATCAAACGGGAGTTTAAATACGGATTGTATTTTTCTGTCATAGCTGGTAAGGAATAAGCATGGCCATTTACGAAACTACAGTATGTTATCAAATGGGAGTTTAAATACGGATTGTATTTTTCTGTCATAGCTGGTAAGGAATAAGCATGTGGCCATTTACGAAACTATAGTATGAACAACACTGAGAAACACAAGTATGGCCATTTCAAACAGACTACATATAAATTCATATTCCAACAATGAATCAACAGCACCCATGGCCATTTACATTTGCAGCATCTGAAGGTAGATCATCTAATTAATGTTAGAAGGATAATAATTTCTAAAGTTCTTTATTAAAAAAATCAATAGACAACCACCAGAGACTGTTTTGGTGAATTAGAGACAAATTTTGTTTTGGAGAAGATGATTACTTCTCAATGCTTGACGGCTGCATATTGCTAAAAGATGAATATGGTTTGAATACTTTAGGTTAGTTGTATTCTTCTCCATAAATAGATATATAGGAGTTTATAATGGTGCTTTACAAGGAAATAGATACAGTAAATCACCATGGTATACAAGGTGGCTTAGAGACAAATTGCAGGTACCATTGCAAGAATGGTTCCATAGTCAATAATGCCAAGACTTCCAAGGTTGTAAAAGTCTCCTCTTCAAAATAGGAAAGCATGGTTTTCCAAAGTGAACATTGTAGAAAATTGATATCAAAATTGTGACATGCCATATGTCGATTGATATCTCTTAAGATGGTTTCGTCAGCCTTTTCCACTGAAAATGGAAACACCATATATATGCATGTTTTTCTTCTACTACAATAATTAGAATTTGTTTACGACTATGAATTTTCCCAGAGCAATTTCAGGGACCGACTTGACTTTCACCATGCGGCTTCGGGAAGTGCAAATGAACCATGCACAAGACTTTTAGAGGGAGCTCTTTGGACGTGGACTTGTTAAAACATGGTAGTATATATGAAACATCGTCGGAAATTTAATTGTTTTTTGTTGAAATGTTGATAAAAACAAACTAACAAAATATATACATACATTAACAAAAAAAATGTAAGTTTCAAAATAAATGCACAGTGCCCAAGGAAACTCCTCATATAACTTATGTCTCTTCAAAATTGTCAAAAGTCTGCTGTAGCAATACTCACAAATGGATAATTGTAATCCGGGTTTGAATCCCAGCAGTGGAATGCTGTTTTATTTTTATTTTATTTTTTGGTTGGGTTGTTTACGTGGGCCATAATATAATAAATGAGCTTGATAGCTCACACAAAAACTAAAAAGAATTCTGAATTTTCTGTTAACACCCTAAAATTTACCAATCAAAGAAATACAAAATGATATAAAGGTAAAAAACCAACCATTGCAGGAATAAGGTCATAGTAAAACCTACAAAGAATTTTGAATTTTCTATTAACACCTTTAAATTTACCAATCAAAGAAATACAAATGATAGAAAGAAAAAAGAACCAGCCATTGCAGGAATATTTTCTTTTAAGTTAGTATATCCTAGAGAAGTGAAAAGTTGACATTCTTTTAGGTGTTGCGGGTACTAATCAAATTGAGATTTTCTATTTAAACCTCATACTTCTCTTAGTTCACTAGATGTTCTAAGTTCACCCCACTATCTTCCCAAACTACCCTTAAATACACCCCAAGCTGAAAAAAAATAAGAAATAAAAGAGATTTTCAATTTAAACCCCATAATTTTCTTTGTTCACCCCAATACTTAAATCATTAAACAATATTTATAGTATACATGAGATTTTGTTTGGGGTGAAAGTTTGAAGCAAAAGTACGTGCTAGGCATCAGTTTAAGAATAGAAGGGGACAAGTGACGACTGATCTTTCTCTTCAAGCCTTGGAAAGAATCTTCTACAGTTGTGGAGCCTAATTGTCTAGCAGCACACGGTGCTTCAATGCATCGGATCTCAAGGATATCAAGTGTATACTTTCTATTATGAGTTCCTGATAACTGTTTTCTATAATTGTTTGTTTTTTGTGTATGAAATTGCTCCTTATTTCCCCTTTGCTTCTATTACACAACATCTTCTTTTATTTTTTACCCAATGGAAAAGTGACATTTAGCCTACTGAGAAGAGTAATTTGGCAATACGATGTAGATGAGTTTGTATTTTTCTAAAACTTAATATAAAGAGTAGCGGGGTGTGTGTATAGATGTACTAGGATTAAGTATTAAGTTGAATGACCTTTTTTTGTCTTTTTACACGATAATAAAATTTACAGCTTAATGATTTAAGTATTGAGGTGAACAAAGAGAAGTGCGGGATTTAAATAGAAAATCTCATCAAATTATATGGGGGCATTTAGAAACTCTATTATAAAAAAAATAATAATAAAAAGGTGAAATGATTTTTGGTTCATGTGTTTTCCCTCGATTTCAATTTGTATCACTATGTTTTTTTTTGTTTTTTTGTTTTGCCAAGGTTTTCTCACACACATTATCAAGGTGTCATGGGGTTTGAAACTGAAACCACTGATATGCAAGTCAATGTTTTTTTCCACTACGCTAGACCTCCTTGACATCTTTTTGTTTTTTTGTTTTTTTTTTTTTCTCAATTTGATCATTTTGATCACTCTTCTTTATTATTAAAAATTTTATTGAGCTAAAAAAAAAAGGTCCCAAAATAAAATCCCTTGAACGCGCATATAAGTATGTAATGATTGCCAATATTCATAAATATGCATACAAATTATCATATGATGCACCATTTCTTCAAGATCTGAATCATTATCGGAGTGATTGTCTTCATTCCTTGTAGACATGTCTAGTAACTTCAAATATTCAAATTCAATAAAGTAATATGCATACAAATTAAAGTCACAAAAATCTAAAATATGCATACAAATTGCTCAGTCAAATATTTTTTGTAAATATGCATACAAATTAAAGTCACAAACATCAAACAGAATAAAAAGAACAATTAATAAATATTCTCTCAACAATAAACATAAGTAGCAATCCTAAAAACTAGCCAACCAAGCTCTCCTTCTTGCTTCTGGCATTGTAACAAAGATTTTCCTCCATTCAACAAGCACTATCTTTTCTAGCATCTTGTTGAATGTATTGTTATCAATGTCTTCCATTGTCTCAACAATTTCAATGCATTCTTCAATCGAATACATCTCCTTAGAGGTGTTAGATGCCTCAAGCAACGGCCACCGCCACAAGCAACGGCAGTAGCAGCCGCGCTGCCATCGTCCACCGCTCCCATCCGTCTAGTCGTCACGTCGCGACGACAACCCTCAGCCCGCGCCATCTGGTCCTCGCCACAAGCAAAAAAAATACGAAGAAGTCACAGCAGCTGCTACCACCATCGATGTCAATCACGACAACAACCAATCGGGCCCACCCAGTTGGTTCTCGCAGTGAAGAAGAAAAGAAGAAGAAAAAAATATCAAATTTGACTTACCTTTGGGTACACGACGACTCCTCTCTTCGACAAGCAGTATAATTCTCCAAGATCTCTCTGAAGCTAGAATTTGAAGAAGAGTGAAAAGAAGCCTTGAATTTATAAAGGTTGGAAATCCTAGGTCAAGAAGGAAGCACAAGTCTATTCCTATTAGGAGCTCAACTACAAGAAAAAGTCAAAAGCCTACTCCAATTAGGAGCCCAATTTGCAAAAGGATTTCAACTCAAAGAAGAAAGCCCATATGCAGTTGGAAAAGCACGAAAAGTATTTCTCACCTCCTCCGCGTCTCATAAGCGCCATGCAGAAGTTGAGGGGCATTTGTGGGATAAAATAATCCAACTTCCAATTATAAGGTGCCACGTGGACAAGAAGAATATCTCCTAGGTCAATTAATTGAGCCCATTTATTTGACCAATTAATTGATGCTAAAAATAGGGATATTATCTTTATTTGGGAATATAATTACCAATTAAAAGATAATATCATCAATTTAGAATATTATCTTAATTGGGAGATATTATCATCAATTAGTGATTTAATCCCAATCAAATTCTTAATTGACTCAATCTCTCCATTTAGGGGGAAAAATATTTTCCTTCCAAATAAGAAGATATTCTTTGAAAAACTCTACATGGCTAGAGTCCTATAAATACATAGCCACCAAACATCCAAAACATTGAAAACTATGAATTCTTAACATTCTGGAATGTTTTTTTTTTCTTTTGCCATTAAGATATCAAAGTTCGATTTCTCCAAAAAAAACAAAAAACTTCGATTGTTATCATCCGAACTCGCTAGAGATGAAAGTGAGGTTTACTAGAGGACTAAAACGTTTATTTTCAGTTAAATACAAGGTTATTTTTTATTTAGGACCTTTTGCCCTTGGCTTTAGGCCAAGTAGTGAGGGTGAAATGATAATGGAATCAGGATTAAACCAAAAGCAGAAGCAAGTAGTGACGGTTCAAATATGAGATTATTAGTTTGCAAATCAATGCCCATTTTTATTGGTGGAAGAGTACTGGTACTACTAGGGGCAGCCCTGAGTGTGTGCAAGTGGTGCCATCGCACAGGGCCCCTGATTTTTGAGGGCCCCCAATTTTTTTTATGTGTATAATATATGTATATATTAATAAATGTTATATATATACTGAGCGAGCAAATTTTTGACACAAAGACATTTCTAGTTGTGTTGGTTTGCAGGGCCTCAACTTTCCATTTAGGGCGCGACTTCAAAACCCGCTTGTGTAGATCATAGTTTTAGGTTTTTTTAGGTTTTTTTATGGTAACAACAATTAATAATCATAATAATTAAAAAGGCAAACACGTTATTTTCTGTAAGTAATAATCATCACCAATATCTCTCCTTGGCTCTCTTTTTTAATCCTTTGACAATTTTTTTTTTCAATTTCAAGGATTTTCAACACAAAAAATCGACCAAAAAAATTGATAA